TCATGAAATCGGTTGGCTTCTTCACAGAAGTAAGCTTGGGGAATCAGACCCAAATCCAGACGTTTTCCCATTAATACGCTTCCAGTGGCTAATCGAGTTCTCAATGGATCGAGAGTGGTGCGCTGTGATCAGAAAGCTATTAAACATGTTCTTTGATGGAGCTGTTGGTGAATTTTCTTCCTCCTCAAATGCCACACTATCAGAACTGTGCCTTCTTCACAGAGCCGTGAGGAAAAACTCTAAGCCTATGGTCGAAATGCTCTTGAGATATGTTCCCAAGAAACAAAGAAACAGCTTGTTTAGACCCGATGCTGCTGGTCCAGCCGGCTTAACACCTCTTCACATTGCAGCCGGTAAAGACGGTTCAGAAGATGTGTTGGATGCGCTAACAGAAGATCCTGCAATGGTGACTTTGATTTTCCCTCTTTTTTCAGCCATGAAATTTGATTCTCTTAGCTAAAAGCTTATCTTTGTGCATCTGATATAGGTGGGGATTGAAGCGTGGAAGACATCTCGAGACAGCACAGGCTTCACACCAGAAGACTACGCACGCTTACGCGGTCACTTCTCATACATCCACTTGATTCAACGCAAGATCAACAAAAAGTCAACAACTGAAGATCATGTTGTGGTCAACATCCCAGTTTCTTTCTCAGACAGAGAGCAGAAAGAACCAAAATCAGGTCCGATGGCTTCAGCCTTGGAGATTAACCAGCTTCCATGCAAGCTCTGTGACCATAAACTGGTGTATGGGACAACACGCAGGTCTGTAGCGTACAGACCAGCTATGTTGTCAATGGTGGCGATTGCTGCGGTTTGCGTCTGTGTGGCACTTCTGTTTAAGAGTTGCCCGGAAGTGCTCTATGTGTTTCAACCGTTCAGGTGGGAGTTATTGGACTATGGAACAAGCTGAGTGTAAGTCTACTTTGAAAGATCTTCTAAGATATATATGAATGTTACTTATATAAAACCCATAGAGGTGTGATTTCTATATGTAACTATATGAGTATAAGATATAGAGACATGTTGGAGTTAGAAGATTGTTGTTGTTGTTGTGTAAAAGCCTTCCCTTTCTCTCTGGAGATGTTGATGATTAGTATATTTTTTGTTTGACAGAATAATTTGTTTCTTATTGTAATTTAACAATGGAGATGTTCTTCTTTTTAAGTTTCCCTTGGATTCACACTTTTGAAGCTTTTTTGTACATCAGATTCATCACTTGACAAATAGATACATTAATTTATGACTTGGATGTCCATTCCAACACTCTGATGACTTGATCATTCTCTGGTACATCTAATGCGATGAGGAGGAGAAGCTCTAAAGCTGGAATCCGAATCTCACAACCCAAGTAAGATATTTCAACAAGTTTACTAGCTCCTCCAGCTTCTACTATTGCTCTTGAATGATCTTTGTGCAAGTAATTACACGGGCTAGCGAATTTAGTGAGTGCTACAACTGCTTCTCTTGATGGCCAAGGAGCTTCACCAATTGCTCAATCATTTGTGTATCAGACGCTCTAAATGCTAGCTGAATTTCCTTTGGCCAGCTCCCTCAAAGCTTTTTCCTTCACGTGCAAGGAACCTTCCTGCTCTGGAGTCTTTCCATACACCCAATAGGCTTAACAGGAGGAGCTGAATCACCTCGTGTTGTGCGAAAACGTTTTGGCTCTCGGGGAAGCTCGCGACCAAGACTGACGTGGTACAACTGTACAAGCCACCTCTGCTTGACCCCTCATCGACCCTTGTTTAAGAATTAAAGAAATGAACAACTAACGATAATAATAGTTTTAGATGTCTGCATCTGATAATAATTTTAAGAGAAATTGTTAAAAATGTCCCTTTTTCAATACTCCTTTTCAAAAATGCCCCCTTTGAGAATCCATTTTTAAGTTTGCCTTCTTTTAATTTTTAATGACCATTTTACTCTTATTTGAAACAAAATTAGGTCCACAAAATACAAAATATTTTTTGGCGGGAAAAGTGATCCCGCAATTTTCCCGCCAAAACACTTGTAAAAAACCTTTAAAATACCCTGTAAAATTTTCCCGCAAAAATTTTTCCCGCCAAAAATTTTTTTTTGCAGGAAAAGTGATTCCGCAATTTTTTTGGCGGGAAAAATTTACAAGGTATTTTAAAGGTTTTACGAAGTATTTACAAGTGTTTTGTAAGGTTTTACAATGTATTTTAAAAGGTTTTTACAAGGTACTTATAAAGTTTTATAAGGAATTTATAACTTGTAAAAAATTTGTAAAACCTTATAAAAAACTTGTAAAATCTTATAACTTGTAAAACCTTATAAAATAGCTTGTAAAATCTTATAATATCTTATAAATACCTTATAAATACGTTGTAAAACCTTTTAAAATACATTGTAAAACCTTATAAGTACCCTGTAAAAAACCTTTAAAATACCTTGTAAATTTTTCCCGCCAAAAATTTAACGCCAAAAAAATTACAGAATCACTTTTCCCGCAAAAAAAAATTTTTGGCGGGAAAAAATTTTACGGGAAAATTTTACAAGGTATTTTAAAGGTTGTACAAGTTTTTACAAGTGTTTTGGCGGGAAAAATTAAAGGATCACTTTTCCCGCCAAAAAATATTTTGTATTTTGTGAACCTAATTTTGTTATATTACCTAATATATTTGTGATATCTTTTATTAAAAGAAGGGTAATTTAGTCATTTTATACATAAAAGGGGTATTTTTAAAAATGGACAACCAAAGAGGGCATTTTTGAAAAGGGATATTGAAAAAGGGGCATTTTTGTGAGTCTCCCTAATTTTAATAAGGAATTCCGTGAAAATATATGTGGTGCAGCAAATTTTTAGTCTTTTATGTGGTTTACATTTATTTTTTCTATATTTAGAAGAAGAAAAATCTTTATATACTAGGTAATTGTGTCATACACATTCTCATCAAAAAGAAAAGAAAAAAAAAAATCAAAAGCAAAAATGAGTAAAAATGTAAATGTGTTTGGTTTTCTGATTCATATGGTGTTTTTCTTGATGATTTTAACAGGTATATATACATTACTATGTGTGGATTTTGTCAATATATTGTTTGTGTTTGATTTTATGAGTAGTGTTTATTTTCCAATAGACTCATATTTTTTTTAACATCTTTTAACTTAACAAAATTCACTAGCTAATTGTAAATGCCAAACACACACTAGAACTTATGTTTGCGGTTTTCGAAATTATTTGAGAAAAATAAAAAGAATGTTTAATTTATGAAAGAATTTAAAATCTGGTAAAATATATGTATAATTTGTAGAAGTAAAAATTGTACGTATAATCTATATACAATTTATGTGTTCTCAGTAAAATAAAATTAAAACAGAAATATGCATTTTTAACCAACAAATTAAAATGTTTCTCATAGTATTATCATTAGGAAATGCTCATGCAACACCTCGTCCAAAGCCTCCAGTTCTTCATCCATGTGACGTTAGAGATACAACCAGAACGCCGCCGGGGACTTGTAATAAGCATAACGGTGCCTCATTATGCCAAAAACTTTGCTTTAATGGAGGTGTGAAAGGTTCTACGTTCGGCACTTGTGTAACTACGCCGAAAGGAAAAATGTGCACATGTCACAATTGCAAGTTTTAAGAAAAATCGAAAAGTGCAGAATAAATATTATTATCTCATAATTAGATGATAATCCGGACTACGTCCGTGTATATTTGACATTTGATATTTTAAAGTTTGTTAACTAAATAATTTGTTTTAGTTTCTTTAGTATACATTGTGAAAAATCATATAATATTGTATTTGACATTTTGTAGTTAAAACATATATGCTACTATTAATTTTTATAATTTTCTTTTTAGTATCACTGCCACAAAATTGGTTGTTTATTTTCTATAATTATAACTTTGAGTTGCTACAACTAGATGTCCTATTTCGCATGACTAATTTTGTTCTCCATTATAATAACTTTGGATGCATACAATGGTAAATGCCAAACACACACTAAAACTTACATTTGCGGTTTTTAAAATTATTTGAGAAAAATAAAAAGAACGTTTAATTAATGAAAGAATTTAAAATTTGGTAAAATATATGTATAATTTGTAAAAATAAAATTATACGTATAATCTATATACAATTTATGTGTTCCCGGTAAAATAAAATTAAAACAGAATATGCATTTTTAACCAACAAATTAAAATGTTTCTCACAGAATTATCATTAGGAAATGCTCATGCAAGACCTCGTCCAAAACCTCAAAGTCTTCATCCATGTGATGTTAGAGATACAACCAGAACGTCGCCGGGGACTTATAATAAGCATAACGGTGTCTCATCATGCCAAGAATCTTGCTTTAATGGAGGTGTGAAAGGTTCTACGTACGGCACATGTGTAACTTTGCCGAAAGGAAAAGTGTGCACATGTCACAACTGCAAGCTTTAAAAAAAATCGAAAAGTGTAGAATAAATATTATTATCAAATGAATTTTGAATAATAATTCATAAAAAATGAATTTCACGTTTAAAAAAAGATTAAATAACATTTAGAGATAAAATTTATATTTCGAGATTAGCTACCCGATTAATCATATATACACATATATATATATATATATAATTATCAAATGTACTATTTTTTTAATAAACGAGTTTATAGACTATGTACATGTTAGTTGTAATCGATGACGACGTAATTTAAAAAGAGAAAATTGATAGATGTAGTTTTTCCTATAACTTTTCATTCTCACGGTTGAGCATACAATTTTTTCTTGTATGGGGGGAGACAAGAGTTGAAAAACGAACGACAAAAAAAAAAAACATGGTTAGCATAAGAAAATAGGCCGGTTCAATGTTTAGCAGGTGGAGATCGAGAGCTTCGTATTAAACCGGAACCAGCCCGGGTTATTAGATTCCCGATATTTGAATCGAACGATAATAATAAAAAAAGAACGCTCGACCTGATTTAAAAAAATAGATTGAAGAAAAAACAAGTACAATGTTTAGAAGAAGAAGATATATAGAGTAGTAGTAGTAGTAGTTGGGGTTTCAAACATAAAAATTAAAGTCTGCGCCATACCGTTTGTTTAAGTCGGCGATGGTGGACTTTGAGAATTTGGCCACTTTCTCCGGCACAGAGTTTTTGTGAAGGAAAAAAAAAAAAAAAAATCCTAATCGAAATCGCCGATGGATTTTAGATTCTCTGTGGTGGTTTACTTGTTGATACTTGTACTTGCGAATTCTTTTGATGTTGTTGATTCATCAGATTCCTTTTATGTTTCAAGAAACACAAGTCTCGTTTCCCCAGGCGGTGTCTTCGAGCTTGGATTTTTCAGTTTTGGTGATCGTTGGTATTTTGGGATATGGTACAAGAAGATCCCTAAGAGAACCTACGTTTGGGTCGGGAACAGAGACATACCTCTCTATAACTCTAACGCAACTCTTGAAATCTCTGGTGCTAACATCGTTCTCCTCGATAGTAACCACCGCATCATCTGGGATACTGGGAGAGGAAACGAGATATCCCCGGAGCTGGTGGCGGAGCTCCTGGCTAACGGAAATTTGGTGCTGAGAAACAAGGATCCAGGAGATTACTTGTGGCAGAGTTTCGATAATCCCACAGACACATTACTTCCGGATATGAAACTCAGATCCTCCAAAGTCCCAAATTTTGGGTCACGTCGATATCTGGCATCCTGGAAAGCACCAAATGATCCAGCAAAAGGAAACTTCATCTTCGGCATGGATGGTGATAAATTCCCTAGGATTCTCATAATGCAGGGAGAGGAAATCACCAAAGTGTACCGGAGTGGTGGTTGGAATGGAATCGAATTTGCTGACCTACCCCTGGTCTTCAATTCTACCAACGAAGATGGTGAAAGTACTTTTGTGTATCAAGACAACGACCTTTACTCAATAGTCACATTGACGCCCGACGGAGTATTGAACTGGTTAACATGGAATCAGAGATCACAAGAATGGACCTTGCGATGGACTGCATTACTTACTTATTGCGACCGTTACAACCATTGTGGCGCCAACAGTTATTGCAACGCGCACACGTCCCCGCCAACGTGTAATTGCATCACAGGTTTTGAGCCAGGGACCTCAAGAAACGTCACAGGAGGATGTGTTAGGAAAACACCAGTGAGCTGCAACTGCAATCGATTCTCTCAGCTCACGAAAATGAAGTTGCCGGATACAGTGGATGCCAAACAGTACTCCCCATACGAATTGAAAACTTGTCGAGATATGTGTGTCAAAGACTGTCATTGCACGGCATATACAGTGATTGTCTATCAAAATGGCACCTCATCATCAAACTGTGTGACTTGGAGCGGCGACCTCCTCGATCTACAAAATTACGCCATGGCCGGTCAAGATTTGTATATCAGACTCAATGGTATATATATGATGTTCCACAATTATTTTCTAAGTTGTTCACACTTTCGCTTACGACTCTCTCTGTTTATTTTGGTTATAGGAAAAACAAAAAACAAAAGTCGACTTATAATAGGTTTGAGCCTTGGAGCCACTGCTGCCGTCATCATCATTGTAATTCTGTTAGTGCTCTGTATTTGGAGAAGGAAACAAAATCAAGCAAGAGCAACTGCAATGGATGAAATGCAAAGTAATGAAGACACGTTTGGAGCAGAAGAAACAGAGACTCTTGCAATGGATATAATACAAAGTAATGAAGACATATTTGGAGCAGAGGAAACAGAGACTCTGCAACTTCCACCCATGGATTTTGGATTAATACTAAGAGCCACAGAGAACTTCTCTGATGCTAATGAGATTGGACATGGTGGTTTCGGTACTGTATATAAGGTACAATATTATAATCCTACTTTTCAATCAAGTCTCCGAGTTAGGTCTCCCAATATTAGAACTTCAATCTTCATTCCCTTTGTTTTCAGGTCCTTGTATCAGTTGACTATTGATATGTAAGAATGTTTCTTACTAAAAGATTTATGAATATAAAAAGATTCAAGATTTAAAGCAACCCTTTCTCAGCAAGTGTTTTATGAATAGTTTTTGCGACCTTTGATAAAGAACCTCGCAGCTAATACTTTTTATTTTTGATTTGGCTTTTCTTCTAAAAGCTTGACACTTGAAAAATTCTCATTCAAAAGCTTAACCATAGCATTCTGTTATGAGATTGGGGTTTTCCATGTAATTTATGGATGGAATTTTGGTTTCAGGGACGTTTACCTAGCGGCCAAGAAATTGCAGTGAAAAGGCTGTCGGAGGTCTCAAGACAGGGGACGGTTGAGTTCAAAACAGAGGTGATGTTAATTGCAAACCTTCAGCATATCAATCTCGTGAAGCTCCTTGGTTGGAGCGTTCACGAGAGAGAGAGGGTGTTGATATATGAATACCTAGAAAATGGAAGCCTCCAGCATCATCTTTTTGGTGAGTTATATATATTATTAAGTTAACATACATCTGTATATTCTCATTAGTTCAATCTTTTTGACCGCAATATTCTTTTTGACCTGAGTTTTAGGTGGAGGCCAAAACTCATCCGACCTAAACTGGCAGATGAGATTTGAGATTATTAAAGGTATTTGTCACGGTCTTGCCTATATGCAAGACGGTTCGCGAGTTATGATTGTCCACAGGGATTTGAAACCAGCCAACATCTTGCTTGATAGAAATATGATCCCCAAAATATCAGATTTTGGCTTGGCAAGAATTTGTAGCAGGAGCGAGAGCAAGGCTGTCACAACAAAGCCGTCTGGAACTTAGTAAGCAGTCAAAACTTGTATCTCTGAATTGGTTTTGTTTTACCGTTAAGTTTGAATAAAGGTTCTTCCATTATGCAGTGGTTACATGTCTCCGGAGTATGCAGAGAGTGGGTTATATTCAGCAAAGTCGGATATTTTTAGCTTCGGGGTGATGCTCCTTGAGATTGTAAGTGGGAAGGAAAATAGGTCCTTCTCATACTCACTCTGCAGAACAAATCTTCTTAGCTATGTAAGAAGTTTTCTGATTTGTTATTAGTACTTCCTTTGAGATTGAAAAGCATATATTCATAAACTAACAAGCAATGACCTGTTTCCTATGAACAGATATGGACCAAATGGAATGACGGTAATTGGGAGGAGACAATAGAACAAGCAATACAAGAATCATCCTCATTTCAGAAACACCAAGTCCGAAGATGCCTAGAAGTTGGTCTCCTCTGTGTTCAACAAGATGCAGAGGACAGACCACAGATGCTCTCAGTGGTAATGATGCTTCTAAATGAAGCAACTGATATCCCACGCCCTAAGCTTCCTGGTTTTTACAAGGCCGAGAATTATAAAGATCAGAGTGAGATTTACTCAACGTCTGGTTCACAATGGTAAGATTTGAAGACTATATAAGACTTTGTAATGTCCATTCATACACCATTCTAAGAATTTAAGTTGATCATTCAAGAATTACCTAAATGATCATTTGGCCAAATACATCCTACTGTTGAATCAATTCTAATAAATACATGCTTTTAAAACTTTTATGCAAAGTGGGTACGAAGCTTCGACGGTAGATGAGGAACTAGTGAGAGCATATATATAGAGGCAAAGAAACGGTGAAAACGGACAAGATTACGCGAGAGTAGCTTAGTATTTGCCTGAAGAAAGGCCATTTCTAAAGGAGGTTGGTTTCTGTAGGTTCTGGCAGAGAAACTGTGTTTCGAAATTGAGAAAGGGGTTGTGGAAATTATATACGTACATCAGCATGTTTGTTATGGGAGCAGCTGCAGATACATATTAGCTCATTGAGTCTTTCACTGGAACGAATTAGTCTTACACTCCAATGATATTTCTAGAACAGAGAGCATAGTAACCAGAGAGACACAACTAGTGAAGTTTCAGAGAGCATATATATAGTAATTAGCTAGAGAGACATTGGAGGGATCCAGAGAGGGAAGACTGGTGTTTTAGAGAAGGCTGAGGGAGACTTGGGACGGAAGGAACGTGGTTTTCTTGTGGCGATATCGTAAACACCAAAGCCCTCGCCTGCAAAATATATGGAGTTAGGTTTTAGGCCAGGGAATGAGCTTGCCTTGACACAGAAGGGCTCACTACCGCCAAGGAATATGCAGAGATCTCCAATGTCCTCTGTGTAACACATGTTCGTATCTTCCTCCTCTCTAAACACCATGAAACGCTTTGTTCCGCGACACAAGAATGTCATTATCTTGCCCGGTTGGTAGTTCTGAGCGTACCACTTGATTAGGAAACGCTGTCCTGAGGGAGACTCCGCAAGGTGTGCAGTCGGTGGGGAACATGAGTCCAAGAGCTCCCACTCAGACTGGGTCAACTCAGGAAGGTTGCAAAACCGCAACTCCTTCATCTTGGGGCAGGTCATAATCTCCTCAAAGCAAGAGTCCCAGAAAGCCAAGAAGTGGCCTCCAACACTAGGAGTGTAGAACTTTTCATCTCTCTTTGAATACATAACCTTTGATTGATCAAAATAGTGGGACTGGGTTTTAAAGCCGCCCGAACCAGAGTACTCTGGTTTGCCACAAGGCCTAAAGAAATTGATCTCAAGTCCTAAACAATTGGCCGCCACTACAAAATGTTTACTTTGATCAGGTGAATAAGTCATTCCGGCGTTAGTGATGATGCGCTTTTGGGTGATATTAGGTTGACCCATGGGATGCAAAGGAATGACTTTGGGATTTGATTTGGAGCCACAAGGATTGCAGTAGTCGCTAACATAGAGGGCTTTGTGTTCATCACTCTCCACATTGAAAACTCCCCATCCGTGGGACATTCCAACCAGACTCGTATTACGCAACTCCATGGGAAAGGCCTTGTCTCGGACAATAACTTCATCTTCCTTGACCGGATCAAAGTAGTGGATATTGCTTGTTACATTAATATCATCAAAAGAACTTCCATAATGTGTGAGACGATACATCAAGTACGGGTTGGTGGTGGTGGAGGAGGAGAACATCCGAAGGGTGTGGTGGCATTTCTGAGGGAAGAGTATCATGACATAAGAAGAAGAAAGAAGAAAACAGAAACTAGAAAGAGAGAGGATAGACTTACCAGAGCAAGGTTGCGGAGAAAGGGCCTGGAAGGGAGACTTAGAAGCAGAGACGACATAGCTCTGTATCTTTTCTCTAAAGGGTTTTCGAGTTAGTCAAGATCTAATACCAAACTGATTGCCACAAGACATTACAAACAAGGATTTTTCATTATTTGATGTCTCTTTTCTTTTTATTTTTTCCACTTTTCCATGTTTAGAAGAATTTTGTCACAAAGGAAAAAAAAATATCTTGTGATCAAATTTGAGAAAGATAATACTTGGTGCATACTCCATATATAGTAAATAATCTTACATTTATTTTTATAGTTCTCACATTTATATTTTTTCCTAAGCAAAAATAATTTTAGCAAAGCTATGTCGTCTCTGCTTCTCAGCCTCTCTTCCAGGCCATCTCTCCGCAAACTTGCTCTGGTAAATCTATTCTCTCTGTCTCTGTCTCTCTATTTTCTGTTTTCTTCTTCCTCTTCTGATGTCTACTTCTTACTAGTTATTCCTTAGAGATGCCACACCCTACGGGTGTTCTCCTCCTCCACCACCACCAACCCGTACTTGATGTATAGTGTCACCTATTGTGGTGAATACCCAGAGGCCGGTGCAATAACAAAGCTCCGCATGTTTGACCCGGCCAAGGAAGATTATTTCACCGTCGGTGATAAGCCACTTTCCAAAGAGTTGGCTAAGTCGAGGCTGGTGGGAAGTTCCCATGGATGGGGAGTTTTTATTAGCTCCCGGGATTCCATACTAATCAGCGACTACTGCAATCCCTCGAGCTCCAAATCAAACCCCAAGATGATCCCTCTGCCTCCTCGGCAACATGTAGACTCTTGTCAAACTGAATTGGTAAGTGGAGTGGCAATGTCCTCTTCTCCTGAAGAAGAAGACTTTGTTGCGGCTGTAAAGTTCATGGGACCTCTGGTGGGTATATATATGCCCGGTCAAGCCGATGAGGGCACCTCCGCTATCTACCTACTCTTGAATTCGGTTACTTGGAACAAGGTAAGTTGATGTATTCCAAGAGAGATCAAAGGTTCTACATGCCATGTTCTGGAGGCCATCACTTGTGGTCTTGGAGTGGTATAAAATCCACCGACCCTCAGTACCATCACTTGCGCTTTCACAACCTTCCTCAGTTTTCAATTTCAGAGTTGCAGCTTTTGAATTCTTGTTACAGGACACAACAACTTGTCGAGTCTCCCTCGGGACAACGTTTCCTAGTCAAATGGTAGGAGGTTCTTTCTTCTAGTTGTTTGTTTGCTTTTAACGGTTTCATGTTATAATTAAGAACAAGTTGTGTTTCTTTCTTTTTTGCCTTTGGCTTGGCAGGTATGTTCAAAGCCTTAGCAGGTATGTTAAAAGCCTTATGCTTAGGTCGGTAAAATTCAATTTTGGGGGCACAAAGTTGTTCATGGTGTTTAGAGAGGAGGAAGATATGAACATGTGTTACACAGAAGACATTGGTGATCTCTGCATATTCCTCGGCAATAACGAGCCTTTTTGTGTCAAGGCCAGCTCATTCCCGGGCCTAAACCCTAATTCCATCTATTTCCTCGGTGAAGGCTATGGTGAAGGCTATGGCGTTTACGATATCGCCACTAGAACCCCACGTTCCTTCAATCCCAAGTCTTTTTCGGCTTTCTCTGATATAGCTGATTCACCTAATGGCAAGGTTTACGTGCTTCCTGATTGGGTTCCTCACTGGATTCCTCCATCTCCTCTCTAGTTGTGTTATATTATTCGTTTTCAAAAGCTTAATGAGAGATTTTTTGTTTAATATCAACAAGGATCGAACACACATGCTCATAAAATAACTGATAACTTAAGCTAGTCATTACATCAAAAGACACAAACACTTAAATATGACTATTTGATCCTTACACTTGGTTCATCTGTGCAAAATCTTTTTACTAGAGGAAGAGTTTTGCACTTCCTCTCCTCCAAGCACCACGAAGTGGCAATCCACCGAGAGAGTTCTGGCTCCTTTTGGAGTTATCGTTCTTAGGTTCTGCTTCAGGCTCTGGGTTAGAATTCTTAAGATCTAGTACTGCAGCCATTGATTTCTCTCCTAGACGTGTTCTGAGAAACTTTGAAGTTTTCTTAGGTTGCTTGCCTGTGTCACCTAATCCCACTCCAGCCGATGAAGAATTCACCAACGTCGTCACTTTTGTTTTGCCTTTATCTGAACGGTATGCATCCTTGTCTTTGTCTTTGTCCTGAGATTTGTCAGAGAATTGTAACTTCCTCACTGTATCAACAAATCTATCCCCCTTGGAGTCACTGCTACTTTCAACCTTCACAGCTTTCCCTTTATTTCCTCCTTTCAAGCAGGCATTGTGGGTATCAATGAGTTCCTTCTGCCTCTGAGGGTCAGGGCAGAGTCTAGCCATGTCTAGAACTAAGTGAGACAAACCATAACCTTTCACATATTCCAAGTAAGTTCTTGCATCGATGGAACCATGACGATACTTTCCAGATGTATTCTTGAAGGCCATGAATAACTCTTCATCGTGTCCAAGGCTGGCATGTATTTTTTCAACCAAACTTTTATTGTCAGACTGTACATCAGAAACACCTTGTGCTACTTGGATGTTCGCTGCACTTGCACTGGTGGATGATGACCTGCGATTTTTCACAGCGGAAATTGGAGGAGAATCAGAATGAGAAGGCTGCTCCAGTGATCTTGTATCAGACATTTTAGGGGTTGAAGACGAGTGATGATTATTCCTCTTTGATGTATTCGCGGAACTCAGAGAAGAACCAGATGAGCATCCACCAACTGTGGTATGTTCATTACGAGCATCCTGTGGAACTGCAGAAGCAAGAGTTCTAGTAATTTCAACTCTGCCATGGTGCCCAGATTGAGATTGAGCAGAAGCACCAGAAGATTGTACACTGCTTGTAATTGATGTTTCTGTCGGACCTCGGTTTAGGGCTGGCCAAGCTCGAGAAGAACCAGAAGTTGCACTTCTATTTGTTTGATGTCTTAGACGAGTAGTCGTGGTGTTACTAAGTAAACTCTCCGAGTTATGCCCAAATCTTGATTGGCCTTGGTTTGCTGGCACAGAGAGTGGAGGAAAAGAAGATTCTCCAAGACGTGAACCTCCATAGCGCCCCACATGTTGAAGAAGATTATTACCGTCGTTAATGGCATAAGATGCTTGAGATTCCAGAACCGCAAGATTAGGCTCACGAAGAGATGATCGGCGTCTTCCACGACGACTGCTCTGGTATTGGAAACTGGCTTGTATCTGAAACAGAACCAAGTATTAAACATAATAAAGCATACCAAAAGATGGAAAAGATAATTAATTGGCAAGAGCTGTACTCTGAAATGATACATGCCTGTAGTGATGCACTTTGTTGAGACCGAGACATTCTACCTCCATGATCAATAGAATTATGCCTCTAGAAAAAAATGCAAGTGATCCTTTAAACATCATTGTGTGTCACCATAACAACCGGTGGGAATAAAGAAAAGGTGTTTTACTTTTAACTCAGCTTCGATTTGGAAAACTATGAACTTCTTAGCAAGGCAGGTTTCGTCTTCACATAGGAAATGGTCACTTCTGAAATGAACCTGTTGCAATAACAAGTGAGAGAAATGTACTGTTAAAGAGTCAGAACACCCAATGCAACCACAACATAGCATAAGATTACATTCATACCTCCAGATCATCATAGTTTCCATAATATTCATATTGTCCAGGCTTCAGCCTGCATTGCCAAATCGAAGCAAATGAAATCATTTCGAGGTCAATCAAATTCATAAATCTCACAAATACAAATAGCAATTACCTTTGGCATATATGACAAGTGTAGTGCTCTCTAGACATATGAGTGTATAGCTCATTATCCCCATAGAATGGTCTTTTACAGAACTCACACATAGGATGACCAGTGAAACCTCCTCTTTCACTCTCACTTCCATCCACTTCCGAGTCACCACTACTTATATGTTGGTTCAGCTGTGCCTTAGTAAACAACTTTTGTTCACAAATGAAAACCTGTCAAAACAAAAGCATGAGCTTGTTTCATGAGAAATCGTTAGCAGAGAAATCTTAAACCTAATAAGGTAATTTCAGAACCTAACCTTACGACCTACAAGACATAAACTGCACATATGCAGTTTGTGCTGATGGCTTAAATGATCTTTCAAGTGTTCAACGCTCTTAAACCGCAAACAATGGTTAGGCCCTTTCTTTGGATGACTCTTGTTTGTCTCTTTACACGAATTGCAAGAGAGTCTGCACATTGCCTTAATCCTTGTGTAATGGTTCAAGTCATCAAAGAAAACATTGGTTTCTTCATGATACCAGAAAGATCCTACTCGACCTTCCTTTAATACTGATGGAAAAGTAGTGGAGAAATCACTAATCGTCTTTGTATAATCACCCAAAGCCTGCAATAGAAAAGAGCAGATAGAGGAAATGTAAGCAAATTTACAACTTTTAGTCTCCCCCAGTTTCTCACTATCTTAAAAAAAAAAAACATATCTTTCGCCATTTGAACAGATAAAGAAAAAAGCCCTAACCTTTGTGACGAAGACGACGGGGCATTCGGTTTTGCAGATACAACATCGACGATCATCGAGTATGAAACGAAGACGAACGACACAAGTAGAGCAAACCTCTCTGTGACCACAAGATCCGTAACCAACCCATTCGAGATTCTCCGCGCAAACGGCGCAACTATCATCCATGGTTTCCAACTCCTATGATTTTCTCAGAGAAACCCAGACAGACAGACTTATAGGAGAGAAAAGAGACGAAGACTACTATACTATATTTGATTCAGAAGATAGTTAACATCGTGGGGATGTAGCTCAAATGGTAGAGCGCTCGCTTTGCATGCGAGAGGCACGGGGTTCGATCCCCCGCATCTCCAACTTTATTTTTTCTTTTTAGATTCTTTAAAAGGCCTTTGTAGCCCAATGTAACTAAAACCCATTTATAAAGGGGTAGTTACGTAATTTTAAAAGCGAGCTCCAAAACCCTAGTTTCTCCACCACTAGTCTTTTATTTCTTCTCACCACATAAAGAGATCCCCAGAAATTTTCTTCCGCCGTTGGTTAGCGAAAAGCAAAAAAAGATGCAGATCTTCGTGAAAACCCTAACGGGGAAGACGATCACTCTCGAGGTCGAGTCCTCTGACACCATCGACAATGTCAAGGCCAAGATCCAAGACAAGGAAGGTATCCCACCGGATCAGCAGCGATTGATTTTCGCCGGAAAGCAGCTCGAAGACGGACGTACCTTAGCCGATTACAACATCCAGAAGGAATCAACGCTTCACCTTGTCCTTCGTCTCCGTGGTGGTGCTAAGAAGAGGAAGAAGAAGACCTACACCAAGCCTAAGAAGATCAAGCACAAGCACAAGAAGGTCAAGCTCGCTGTTCTCCAGTTCTACAAGGTTGATGGTTCAGGTAAGGTTCAGCGTCTGAGGAAGGAGTGCCCTAACGCTACCTGTGGTGCTGGGACTTTCATGGCTAGCCATTTCGATCGTCACTACTGTGGTAAGTGTGGTCTCACCTACGTTTACCAGAAAGAAGGAGCTCAGGAATGAATTTCATCTCGATCTCTATCATTTTGAATTTGAATACTGCTTTTTGATTTTGGAAGTTGTTTTTGGATGTTGTGGATCTTATGATGTTGAACTTGTTTGGTTCTGAATTTCATATCTAGGTTTTTCTTATGGATATTGTTATGCTCTTTAATTCGCTTCTCTTATTTGAATGTCATTGCATGATTGATTGATATATCACATAATCAAATCTGTAAATTACTGAGATTACAAACTTTGGTTCTATTTGGGGAAATTGGAATTAGGGATTTACAAAAGCATTTGGGAATAGATATGGGAAGCATGAGTTCTTGGCTTTTACAACTGCGGCATAAGCTCCATAGCAAGGGATGTGAACAATTGCCATGCTTAAGTACCTGAGAATATGTTGTTTTGTTATTGTATAATCACAATCTGTCAAATCTTTAAAACGATTATAAGGTTGATTAGATAGAGTTAATGAGGATGCTTACCATATCGGAGCCCATGGCTTATCGAGCTCGAGGAACGGATATGGCCACCTGAGATAGGTTTGATTTGATTAGAATAGGTTGGTTGTGCTTAGTTGTGGGTTAAGGATCAATTTAAATCATCAGTGCTTACCAAGATAATATAGAGACAACTCCATAGCACGAAATATCCCATTCGAAACCAAGGGAACGGCTGAAATCAGAACAAAAGAATTTCTATATGCTCTTTTCTTCAAATCTCTTGTCTTAGTTAATTTCAATTTTGCTTACAAGGCTATTGAGGACCGTTTCGAGCAGGAGGAAGCCTGCGTTTGCCGTGTGCATGCAAATCATCAACTGCATCAAATCATTAATCCGATAAATTGATGCTTGAGTAGTCATATTTAAACAGAGGCTGAAATGTTCTTACCTTGTTTAACCCGAAGCGAGTATTCGAGAGGAAAGGAACTATAACTAACCAAAACACAATGTCCGTCAGCACTACAGCTCCTGCACTTGTCTGCAACACACACGAATTATTGTGCGAATGTGTATGAAGCAAAATCTTGGGACACGACACTGTCTTGACCACTAACCTGAAAAATTGTCTGCATGAAACAACCATAAACCTCTAATCTTTGCCGGAACTCATCTCCGACCTTTTCTACAACCACATCTTCACCAGTTTCCAATGCTAGCTCCTTAGAATGTATCAAGCAACCATATACTGAAGCTGCAATACCCATCTGCAGAGAACCCAATGAACATAAACAAAATCCGGATTTAACACTCTGACTCGGAAAGCGGTAAGCTATTACGAGATATACCGCAAAGTAGATGATCACAAGCATGAAGGTCCATCTGTTACAAAACCAAGTAACATAACTCAAAGAATAAACAAGTGAATCTGATTAGAATCAGAGTTTTGGTGTTACAACACTAAATAAAAAGAAAGATCACTCTGTGTAATAGACGAAGATGCTTGCGTCCCACTTCAAGATATCCCAAGCCAATAATGCAGCCATGGAGAGAAAAGAGGTGGAACGAGTGAAGAGTAGCCAGCCGGGATGTAACCTTGTCCAGCAACTGGTCCATAACTGAGCCGACCCAAGGCTCTTCGATCTATAAAGTGGTAGCAAGCTAACGTGGCCCGTATCATCAATTCCTAAGCAGCCTCTTTCTCTGCGCAATAGAAACCACAGGGACGCGACGATTGCAGCCGCTACTGTGGCAAAGCAGATGAAGTCATACCAGTAAACGATCAATACCATGATTTACTAAGTAAAAAAATTATCAGTTGGTTAGTTCTTGAAAATTATTAAGAGGTTTGTTTATGCATGGAGTGGAGTTTTCGGCAGGTGGGTTGTTTTTGAAGCGAGACGACCAGCTGTTGTGAATTGTGATCGTTTGTTACTCGTGTGAATTTGACAGTTAGATAACATGTAGCTAGATGCACGTACATATATAATACATTAATATTTCAAAGTTAAGAATTGATCAAATAAATGAAAGAGAATCTAGAAAAGTGAAGTGAAGTGAAGGTCAAACCAAATTGACAAGATAAAATGAAAATAAAGATATAGGGAACAAAACTACTCACAAATGAAGGATATAACGATTTCAATATATTGGGTTAAAATTATATATTTTGACTTGCTTTATTCAAAAATCAAAATTGTTATATTACATACATACTGTTGCTTATATATTCTTGATACCACATTTATTTATTTATTTGGTGATGAGGCCAAGCCCAAGACATTTCTGTTGTCTTTTTTACTTCTCTTCTTCGACTCTTTTGTTTCTTGTACCGACAAATTCTTCGTCTCTGGTGTTGATATTGATTGTGGACTACTTTGTAATTAACAACCATTAAGCCAATAAATTAGTTTGCACTAAAGAGTTACAAGTAGAAGTTTAATATTAATAACGTTACCCTTATTTATTCGAATTTACTATAGTCTATAGTACGTACATACGTAATTGCTTACGTAGCTTTATAGGCGATTATTAGATGGTGTGATTTGACCCAAAAAGGAAGATAATGGCGTGTAAAAGTCGTTGAAAGTAAAATAGTTAAGGCTAAAAGTGCTGATTTATAGAATATCATAATCTTAATATGGAATCATTCATCGTACCATTTAATAACATTAGAGCAAAGGAGTTTAAAAACTTAGAATATTCTTTCCTTTCACATGGGCTTAACGACGGTATAACCACCGTCAACAGCCAGATTCTGGCCGCTAACGTAAGCCGAATCATCCGAAGCCAGAAACAAAGCCGCCTCAGCCACATGGCGAGCCTTAAGCACCACGCCCTTGAGAATCCCCGTGGCGGTGCTATATTCCTCCACCATCCTCATCGTTTCCTCGTCACGGCTATTTATCGCCGTCGCCACCGCGTACGGTGCGACGCCGTTGACTCTAATCCCGTACTTCCCCAGCCCGCCACAAGCCGATTTAATCAGCCCGAGAAGAGCGTGCTTAGACGCTGTGTACGCGTGAGGACCCGGACCACCGATCTCCGATGCGACGCTGGTCGTACATACGATTGACCCACGCGTGCCTTTATCTACCATGGCTCGTGCCGCGTGTTTGATAAACGCAGCTGCACCACGAACGTTGACCGCCATGGTTCGGTCAAACTGTTCAAGATTCAATTCGAGAAAGCTTCCCGGCTGTTCCATAACGCCGGCGTTACTAAACAGAACGTCTAGCTTTCCGTATTTCTCGACGGTGAACTTAACGGCGTTCTCTACCTCTGTTTCGTTTGTAACATCGCAACGGTAAAAACTTGCTTTGTCTTTCCCGACAGAAACGGCTACGTTTTGACCAAGCTCTTCTTGAAAGTCAACGATGACCACCTTAGCTCCGTGGTCCGTGAACAGCCTAACCGCTTCGGCTCCAATCCCGCTAGCTCCGCCTGTTATAATTGCGATTTTGCCATCCAATCTGCGGAATAGAATATAAACGTACACGTAAATTAAACAAATCAGTAGACATATAAAAAAGGCTTTGGAGTCACACTTGCCTGAGTCCCGACATTTTTGAAGGATTTCAAAAGGAGACAGAGAGAGATTAATTATAAAGTCAAGTGACAAGTAGACTTGAAAGAGCGACTAGATGCTCCGTTCCCTGTATTTATCGTAGCTAGACTTTGTATTAATATAGAACAAATAAACTAGATAATAGTAATTAAATCATAACTATTAATATATCTTAATCGTAATAGCTGTAATTAATAATGCAATCTATTAGTATAATCAAATAGCTATATTTTTTTTGATAATACCATTATGCAAAAGATTACATAGTGTAGACTTATGAAAAATACTATTTAAATGCTTAAAATATAAATAACATATATAAAACCATGAAAATACTACCTAGAATGCTAGAAAATAATAGTTAGACATGATTTTATCAAAATGTTGACTACAAAATAAATCTAATATATAAATTTTAATTCTAAGAATATAAAATATTATTGTGTTAAGTAAAACAATTTTAATTTACTATTTGTATAACCTTAAGTAACATCAACTAATAGATATAGATAATTTTATTCTATAAAAACCAACAATATAAAATCTATTTAATTAATATTCTAAACTATGGAAATATTATTTTATCACAAATCAATAACATGATCACTGTCAAAATCATATTCTTAAGTAGCCAACAAGAGTTTAGAGCCAAGACCGACCAAAGTTTGTATTGCCTAGGACCCAAGTTATTTTACAAAAGGAGAAGAAATGACAATTATGTGTCATTGTCCGCACAAGTAAAAGATGTGGTGGTGGCTTCTTTGTCTTCAACCATCGTCCAACGTGCAAAAGACACAATACAAGAGACACAATAATTCTCAGACCAAACAAGCATGCTATTTAACATGTGACCTCTCCAGACAAAAGCATATGAAAAAACGGAGACACTAACTCACAAGTAAATTAATATCGATTAGTCATATATAGTTCAATTTTATAGGACAAAATCATATGAAAACAGAGACAAAAAATCATACATTAAACTATATGAAAACAGAGACGATAGAAACTCAGCATCAAACTAAAAGCCCCATCACGAACGTCGGTGGAGCAAAAAAACCCAATTCTCTCCCACCTCTCTCCTCTATCAAACTAAAAGCCGCCGTCTTGTTCTCGGCCAACGTCCGGTGGCTTTACAGCCCCGGCGTTGTGCCGCGTGTGTGTTTTTAGTTGTTTTTTCTTCTTTCTTTAGTTTCGTTCTCATCGGCTTTGTAGTTTTCGAGTGGTTTTGGCTTCTCTCGACGAGATCGGAGGCGGAGTTACTCTGGTTCAAGGTGTAGTTCCGTTAAAGTTTTCGGAGTTTCAGTTGTCTTGCTCGATCTACCTCTTGTGTTAGATTCCGTTTCGCCTTGGATTCGTTTTCTATTGCTGTTTTGTCGGAGTCTCGCTCTACCATTGAAGATCCTGATCTGGTCCGTCGCGGTGGTCGATGGTGCTTGTCGGAGTGGGTTCTTATATGGGGATGGTGATGTTGATTTCTAGACTGGTAATTGATTTCAATCTCTTCAAGTCAAGCTTGTTTGGTTTATCCCCGGTTTGCTTGATGGTGGCCTTAGTTATTGTTCGTGTCTTAGTTTGTGGGTTAGTTGCTCTGGATAGCGGTTTCTCCTCCTGATTGTTTTTGAATTCTCAGAGTCTTACTTTTGTGGGGTTTTTGTCTGTTCTGTGGTTGGATCTTGTTTGAGTGAAGTTTCGGTTCTGGCCATTGTTCCTCTGCCTTGGTGTTGTGTTTTGTATCGAATGTCCTGGAAAATCTCTCGTGTGGTGAGACGGACTCGATGCCTTTTGCCATTGGCTCTTTGCTCATCTTCCTTGGCTGGTTCTTCTGTCTCATCAAGATTTGCTTCGTTTGGAGTTCGTGGGTCGCTATTTTGCCATCATATGCGGTATCTCTTCCACTTGAGTTTATCGTCTTCTCGGGGTTGGTTTGGAACGTTTAATACTACCCAAAGCTCTATCAATTCTTTCAGCAGAGAGAGGAGCTATTCATGGGTTTTGATTCGGTTCCTCTCCACAAGACAAATAAGGCATTTGTGCGTCGATCCCTTAGCTTTAAGTTCAGGCTTTTTCCTTTGAGATTCTTGTGTTTTCTAGTTAATTCAATCTTTGGAGGTTTATCGATTAGTTTTCTAAGTTTAGCTTATGGTCTTGTATTTGGTTGTTTGTTAGCTTCCCTCTTTTGGGCTTTTGGCTTCGGGGATATCACTATTTTCCGCCGACTCATCTTATCGGGGATATTAACTCTTTCCGCCGATCTTTGTATCTTTCGAAGGTTTAATATGATTATTCAGACGAAAAAAAAAAAAAAAAGAAACTCAGCATCATAAATCAGGAGAACCCATTCTAACAGCGACATTCCAATGCCTAGTTGTGACTACCATTGAAAACAATATTTAAAATGTGAAAACTAAAATAAAGTTCCATTCTGAATAAATCATTGTGATAATGGAATCTGTTGTCCCTTTTTTTTTTTTTGCTCAAAAGGAATCTGTTGTCATAATAGTCAAAATAGAGAGATTAGAAAGACGAATAGAAAAGGCCCATTAGCCCACTATTGATCAAATAAGCTTGTAGTATTTGTTTAGATAAATTATCCTCGAGATGTGCAATTTATTGGATAATGAATGTTACCATATAAAAATACAACATCCACATTTCAAGGAGAATTGCAACCTCATGTCTCTCTACAATTAAGTCAAGTCAACTTTTGACCCAGTATTAAAAAAAAAACACATTTCATCATGGGATCTTTGTGGCCAAGTCGTTGTAGCTAGTAGCTACTGCTTAACCACCGAGTAACCTCCGTCAACGGCCAGGTTCTGTCCGCTAACGTAAGCCGACTCATCGGATGCTAAAAAGAGAGCAGCTTCTGCCACGTGACGAGCTTTCAATACAATGCCCTTTAGATTCGCTGACGCTGACGTGTTCTCCTCCACCACGTTTGGCTCCATCTTGAAACCATTACAAACTAACGGTGTTGCGACACCAAACGGAGCAACGCCGTTTACTCTTATCCCATATTTTCCTAATCCACCAGAAGCCGATTTGATCAAACCCAACAGCCCATGCTTCGACGCCGTGTACCTATTATTAGTAAGCAATTCATTTTTTTCTCGAATTTTAACGATAAATTTTTGGTTAATAAATCGTGACAACATGATCACTTTGCTACTTATATAATACTCCGTTGCAACGATCCACAATTTATTATTACAGGGTTTTGAAAACGATTTTAATTAGTGCATTTTTTGTTTGTCTAAAGAATTAAAGTGTTTTTGTTGTGAATTTTATTTAGTTTTTACCCGTGTGGTGCCGTGCCGGAGATCTCAGCCGCGACGCTAGTGGTGCAAATGATGGAGCCGCGGGTGCCTTTCTCCACCATGGCACGTGCCGCATGCTTGATGAATGCAGCTGCACCGCGGATGTTAACGGCGACAGTTCGGTCTAACTCGTTGAGATTTAAATCGAGGATGCTCACAAACGGCTCTATAACGCCGGCGTTACTAAACAGAACGTCAAGCTTCCCATATTTTTCTACGGTAAACTTAACGGCGTTTTTAACTTCCGTCTCGTTCGTGACATCGCAATGGTAGTAACTGGCTTTGTCTTCACCGACAGAAACGGCAACGTTTTGACCAAGCTCGTCTTGTACGTCAACGATCACGACTCGAGCGCCGTGTTCGGTAAATAACCGAACGGACTCAGCCCCAATGCCGCTTGCTCCGCCAGTAATAATTACGATTTTGCCATCCAATCTGCAAAAACAACAAATCATTAGAAAACACACATTTGTGTATATGGGTATAAATTTGAGTAGAATTGTTATAAAACTATATGAGGAAATTGCCTTTTCCCAGACATTGTTGAGACGTTAAGAAAATTTGAAGCATATAGCTACGAGAAATTATGTGTTGATATTTATACATGTGTATATGTATGTTAAAAGTCAACTCTATCGTGCCATGTGAGTTTCACTTTTTTTAATGGCTCAAGAATTGGTTTGACCTCTGAATTATGCACCGTAATAATTACACTTGTTCATATATATAATAATGTTTTTATTCGTTTAAAAATTATATTTTAAAATATGAATAAATCACTTTAAGCAATAAGAACATCTCCATACGTTAGACACTCAATAAAATAAAATAATATTAATTTTTTATTATTTAATTATTTTATTATTTAATTGTTTATTTAAACCAATCAGAAGAAGACAACTGTAAAAATGGGTGTCTCAGAGTTTCTCAAATGAGAAACAGTTTCTGTCATCTCTCCTCCTTTTTTAATTTTTTATTCTGTTGTATTGGAGAGTGTCTCACCTAGACACTCCCAATAGAAATGGTCTAACGATCCCGATTGGGAAACAAACAAGGGCGGACCCACGTTGGGAAGAGGGGTGCAGTTGCACCGGTTAAAATATAAAATATTTTGATTATATATAGCATTTATTGATTTAAAGTGGTCTAGGGGTAAAGACTGCACCCCTTAAATATGAGGTGGAGGGCTTTCAACACAACACCTTTAAGAATCCCTTTAGCTTCGCAATACTCCTCCGTCTGCTTCGCCGTCTCCTCGTCGTGACTAGTCATCCCCGTCGCCACCGCGAACGGTTAGTTCTAATCCCATGTTTCCCTAAATCGCCACAAACCGATTTAATCAGCCCGACGAGCCCATGCTTCGACGTCGTGTATTCATGAGGTCCCTGACCACCAATCCCCGACGTTACGCTGGTCGTACAAACGATGGAGCCACGCGTGCCTTTCTCCACCATGGCTCGTGCCGCATGTTTGATAAACACAGCCGCTCCACGAACGTTGACCGCCATTGTTCGGTCAAACCGTTCAAGATTCAAATCAAGGATGCTTCCCGGCGTTTCCAAGACGCCGGGTTTGCTGAAAAGAACGACGCCGGCGTTACTAAACAGAACGTCAAGCTTCCCATGTTTTTCGATGGTGAACTTAACGGCGTTCTCTACTTCCGTCTCGTTTGTAACATCACAACGGTAAAAACTTGCTTTATCTTTGCCGATTGAAACGGCCACGTTTTGGCCTAACTCTTCTTGTACGTCAACTATAACCACTTTAGCTCCGTGGTCAGTGAACAACCTCGCGGATTCGGCTCCTATCCCACTGGCCCCGCCTATTATAATCACGATTTTGCCATCCAATCTTCTGTATACAGACAGACAAAGTAGATACTTAGATATGTTAATTTGTAAATGAATTAATAAAAATGTTTGTGAGAGAGAGACTGAGAAATTAAGCACTTGCTTGCTTCCCAACATTGTTAAATAGGTTTCAAAGAACACAGTAAATTATACTTGGAGATCATAACATCAAGAGGCAAGTATTTATATACTTGAAAGTCTTGAATCATCAGGTAGGTATCTATGAAAGGTAGAGAATCGTTATTTCAATCGTATATAAAAAGTTTTGACTGAATCTGTGTATTTTCAAGTTTTATCTTAATATTTTGGTTACAAACAAAGAAAAACATCATATTTATTTAAATGCTAACATTATTTTACTCTTTAAAGCTCGGTCACATTTGAAAAGAAGTAAGGCCAAGTCAAGGGAATTAAATCCGCGTAGGCCGGTAAACCGATAGTGGTTTTTGTTATAGATCCTAGCTCACACTTGTATACCTTGTTAAGAATTGATCACTATCAATTGTTCTTAAAGAACCTTTTTTTTTGTGTCAATTATCACTATTATTATGTTCTTAAAGAACCTAAATTTTACTTCTATATACTAAAATGTTTAAAAATATTATTCCTGATTAGAAGATTTATTTGATTCTAAATATGAAGTATCGTAGTTTGTTAATATAAAACAGTAAAAATGTGTAGTCATTTCCATTTATGAGTATATATAACGGTAAGTAGAGTTATAGGATTAATTATGGTTTCAGAGATGATCATAAACCGTTAGTTTTCTTTTAGGGCCGGCGTAGAATTGCCATGTGTTATATTCTTATAAAATACGTACTTTGTTTTCTTTAAATTTATGGTTAAAGAAACTAAATATGAAAATTCACGTCACAATGTTTACTTTTTAATTCGGATTTACGTTTTTCTTTGCATACGTAATTGCTTACATAAATGTGATTGATTGATTTTTTAATATTTTTGTTGCTGTTTTCTTAAAACGTATATACACCAATGTTTAAAGTTTAAACATTAAAAAAAAATGTAAATTTAAGCAAATATTTTTAGTTTTTATTTGCGTTTGAAACAAATGGAAATTTCTAATTCACCAAAAAAAAAAAATGGACATTTCTAATATATAATTTCATGGGCCTAGTCTTACAATGAAAGGCAACATTGCAATGAAGCCCTAACTTAATGATAGAAAGCCCATTACGTTAGCTAAGTTGGTTTTGTTTCCTTGCTCGTACAGCACCCCCGATGAATCCTTATGTGGTTGAAACTTCAATGTATTTATATCATTCTATATCATTCTCTCACTGGCAACTTGGCATGGAAGCACAATTTTCCCAGGGTTGATCTCGCAGATAGCCAAAATTTTGTTTAAAAGTGGCAAAAGATAAGCATCGGAAAAAACGTAAATACTATATAAGAAGTATGTTTTCCTTTTGTAAATTTTATAAATACCATAAATCTCATAGAAATATAGCATATAATCGAAAAAATAATCTAATATTTATTAAAATACCGCAAAATCTAGTGTACATTCTTTTTTCTTCTACGACTAAATTATGATTAAGGTTTTGCGGTGTTATAGTATCTTCAGGTCAAAAATTAGAATATATATGCCCAATAATGGAATGACCAAAATATATACACTCACCAAGTACTAAGTTATATACGATCTGGACGAACATTTTTTAATTTGTAAGGTATAGTTCGTAGATTAGAGAACACACGTGGTAATAACTAAATAAGAGTGGGTTTTGGTCAAGCTACTGTGGGAAATGACACGTAGAAAAGGGTCAACGAGTATGTCTAATCTCCTTACATCAAGAGTAAAGTAGAAGAATGTGGGGGTTTGCTTTTAAGGTGAGGAAGAGAGGAATGAATGCGAAAGAGTTCTGTTTTAGTCTACGCAAAACAGATAAAACAAAGTTCCATTGCATGATTAGACGGTGACCTATGCATAAGCCAACTTATTATTTACCATTATTGCAGACAGCAAGAATATCAATGATACACAAAATACATTTCACTATCGATCGAGTCAATGGTTAATGCCAAAAAAAAACAAAATTTAGCAATAAAAGGATATATAAGAAAGACTGTACCCTTTATTAGCTCCTCTTTCGTTAGCCACCCACGTTTTTTTTCTAAGTTTTGTTGTGGTACATAATTAGGTATTTAAGACGAAATCTCAAACTAATTACTATAATAAGACATGCGATAGAATATAGTGAGCAAAAATGGGTAATTTCTTTTTCTTTAGTCTACAACTCTTATACGTATACATGTTTAAAGTTGTAATGCATCTCTAACGAAAAATCGCAAATCCATCTTAGATAAATCAAAAGCTTAAATATTAAAAATTGAGAACCGATTGTTACCTATGTATTACGATTGCTCTCATAAGTACAAATGTGTGATTCCTTGCTTCAAACCAAATTTAACCATAGTTCTTAGAAATCATGATATAAATCATCACTACCCAACAAATCATATCATATATATGATATATCATCACATGTATTTGTTTGTTTGTCATCATATGATTACACCAGAAATACAAACCCTAACTTTAATAAATTAAAATCTTTTTTCTTTTCCCAAGAGGGTCGGTCTCAATTAGCTCGTGACCTCTCATACATATATTTGTACTCAAGTGCTACTAATTTTTTACTTTTAAAAGGATAATTAGAGACCATTCCTTTTCACTCTCCCTCATAATGACGAAGTTCAAACTATTGGAGCCTCACCTTTCCTTATTGACATCGAACATTCGTGTTCTTCAACTTTTGTCTTCGTCTAGTTCGATTTTGGTATAGAAGTTGACCCTTGAATTGTCTTATATATATAGTACCAAAGTGCTTATTCGAACGACAAGACTATACTTGAACCAGATAGCCACTCTTTTCGTGCTCAAAAGCATTAATTTGCTTTTGCTCCTAATTGTAATCATTCACGGCTTTCATTTTCCATATGTTTCCCACTCTTTTTCCATGGGATTATTTTTCATGTATAAATCAAAGAAAAGTATGTATATAACATCATGATGCATTTTCTTCACGTACTGTTTACTTGCATTGCATGTGTAAATAGATCTCCTGCGCAAATAGTCCTTCTCTTTGTAGAACGTTCTCCTTTTGGTTTTTCGTAAAGGTTCCGTAATAAATATACGTTTTGGTATATATCGATGGGTCTTTTCAAAATCATTTTTCAAATTTAAGAATTACAAATATCATAACCGTATCTCTAATTTGAAATAGTATAATGATATATGAACGATTCAACAAAAAATGTTTTGACATCATTTCATATGAAAAGAAAAGGAGCAATTCATCGTTTCATCGGATAAAGCCTTCCTTATGCAATTTGCATACATATTTTTTTTGGGTGGCTTGTTTTTATTTTGAAACGGAGCTCTTAAAAGATTTGGAACAGACTTGAGATCACTAGTATTTATTTTTGTATATGTGTTATTTCTTGGGCATCATAAGTTCATAACTTTGTATATTAGTAATTTAAGAGTCATGTGTTCGAGGTTTCAAGCTAAAATTTTGGTGGTATATTCGAAACTTGTAACACTCCGTGGTTTTATTTAGCTAGGATATGTTACATTCAGGACCAGAGTTCATTACTCAAATAAGTTTAAACAAGCCACCAAGTGTGAGACATTGCACTTCTACGAGTTCTTGATAGACTATTTTCCGACGTCTTTAATAATTGAGAAAATCATAACTATTCTTAATAGATGTTAACAAAGTGAAAGATAAGTAGATAACTATTTCTGTCCTTGAAAAAAAAAAGAAAAATTGTATGAAAATCTTTAAACTCAAGATATTAGTTCCAAACTATCTAAATTTCAGTGACCCCATAAAACGTAATTTCTTAATTGTAAGTAATGTTGACCGATCAACGTAACAGTTGAGACAGAAGCTCATATAAAAAGATTGATTACCGTTAATATTTAACGAATTTTACATATTTTGCCCCTTATCATTACATATATTATGAAATAAGTAAGACATTTTAGTATTTTACATAAGACTCAAGATCAAACACCACAAAGGGATTAAACACACAAAACATAAACTAAAGAAAGATTCAAGAAGCCTTTTTTTTTTTCTTAAGAGCTAAAGATCAAATTAATTAACTAATTAAACATTCTTAATCCATCCACATTAGATTTTTAGTATCTTTTATTAAGCTTCCTGAATATAATCTCAGTTCGATGATGACGACTGGTTCAAGGGACTCCTCCCACGACTCACCGGCTTTGGACTATTTCCGACGACTCGAGGACTCATCTGACCCAACCTGATTTCACTCACTCTTGGACTAAACACTTGTGACAAACTCCGATTATTGACTGGAGTTGAACTTGAACTTGTGACCTTAGGACTACTCGTGTGTCTAAACTCTCCTCTGCTTCGAGTAATAACCTCATCAAGAATCTCCAAATCTCCCGGATACGATGTTGTGGATCCAATTTCCGTTTCCTGTTCAAGCTCGAGTTTGAAGTAAGATAAGAAGAAGCTAAAGAAAAGAAAACAGAGTAATTGAATTTGTAAATGGGATTTTGGTTACCGCTGCGAGATTGTAGGGTAAAGCTGGAGCTTCTTCATACTCTGCTGCGTCCAAGTCCTGAAGATGAGCTCCTTTGAAGAATCTAGGGAGGAGATATTGTCGTACGGGGATTAAGAACATGATCATTAAAGGGAACATGACTCCTGCGATTGGGATCCATGTGAGGCCAAAGCAGATTAAGAGATAAGTCGTTTGGAAAAGAGTGAACATTGCAATCGTCTTGAATGGAACGGTTTCCACGAATGTCGCGTGGTAGTCTTCAAGAACCCTACAAATAGAAATGTGACAGAACTGAGAAAAAAAATGAGCCTTTTTGAAGTTGAATGTGAGAAAAAGATTGGAACTTTAGTTATTACTTGAAGCGGCGACTTGGGGCGGTGAACAGAAGTAAGATTCTTTCCCAGAATTGGTTTCCGGGTAAGCTTTCGATGGCCATGAAGGCAAAATAGCCCCAAAGGACTGATGTTGGGATCATTTTAAGGATAGGCATAGCTGCAACGCATCCTCCTACCATTGTAGACTGAAGCAAGTTGCTTAACCGTTGTTCTTTGACTTCAACTGGTAGTAAATCATCAATTTCTTTCTCTATATCGAACAGAGTTTCATCAACTGGAGCATTGAGGTTTCCGGTGAATGTAGTAGCTTGGATTGTCGATTCCTTGAGCTCTTTTAAACCCTGCCAATGGAAAGAACTAACTCTCAGTTTCATGTTCTATTGACAAAAAATGAAACATGTTCGGAAATGTTTTTTACTTGGGGTTGCTGGTATACTA